GGGTGCCGGAGGTGGCGGTGGCGGTGGAGGTAGCGAGAGGAAAGCGACGGAGAAGAAGAGGGCTGGAAGTTGGAGGCTCCCGCCTCGGTTCGGGATCAGGAGTTGCGGTCCCCGGGAGCACTTCGGAAGCGGCTTGGAAAGGGAAGAGATTTGGAGGGAATTGTGTCCCTCGAAATGTTAAGCGGGGAAAGAATTCCGCCTCCTCTTGCCCCCCGCTCCGAGCTCGCAGAGCAAGCAAAAGAAAGAGAGAGAGAAAAAACCACAGAGCGCCCTGGGCAGTCGGGGAAAGCTAAGGGAGGATGGGGAGATGGTGCCGGGATCCGGCCGGGCACTGCGCGCAGGCTAGGGACGGAGCAGGGGGTGGCCCCGCGCCTCCACGGGCGGCGGGAGCAGGCGGCGGCGGCCCCCGCAGAGTCGGAGGGGGACGGGCTGCTCACTCCTGCGTCCTGCACCAAGCGCGCGCTGCCCGGGCTGGAGTTTTCTGAGTTCCTGCTCCGGGATTCAAGGGGGATGAGTGTGTGTGTGTGTGTGTGTGTGTGTGTGTGTGTGTATGTGCGCGTGCTTGGGAAGGGGGCGGTGGGGGGAGTGCCCACCTCTAATCGTGGGCGGATAAAGAGGAGGGGGCTGCGCAGAGGAAAAGTATGAGGAGGGAGGCCAGGCCGACCGCCGAGCCAAGGCGCCTGGCCGTGGGCCAGAGGCAGCGTTCGAAATACAACTGCCTCGGCGGCGGCGGCGCCCGGGTGCCACCCGAAGCTCCGCTCACGTGCTCCCGCCCGGCGGTGGGGTTAAAGGGACAGGCCGGGGATCCCGGGCCGCCTCGCTGCCGGCCTCGCCCCGCCCGCCTCGCGAGGTCGCCCCTGGGCGGTTGTCCTTGGAAGGCGCGGGAATGTGCCTGTCCCAGAGCCGCGTTTGGGGGCTTGGCCTTTACCTGCATCCCCACGATGCGGAGCCAGCACTGCGGGAAGCGTCTAGCTGCACGCGCGGCAGACGTCTAGTTCCCTGTGAGTGGGAAGGCTCTGGAGAGGAGAGCGCGCCGGCACCGGCCGCCCTAGTCTGCCTCCGAATGCCTTCATCACAGATCGCACAACCCAGCGCACCACCCACACACCATTCTGTTAGGTGGTACAGTGACACACACACGTGCACGCAGGTACACACACACACAAGTGCATGCAGACACACGTGCACACACGCACGCAGATATACACGCACATTTGCAGACGCAGGCACACCACGTGCCGGCAATATGCACACACGCACATGGAGCGCGCCAGCCTCATGGCTTAACTTTTTTCTCCGGGGGAAGTCTAGAGGCCAGGCGAATGCTTCCCAGATCTGGCGCTAGGCGCCCGGGTTCCAACGCTCGCTGGGTGGAGGGGTTGCCCCACGCGAGGACCTCCTAGCTTCCCACCCCCACAATTGTGCCAACTATCCGACTCTCCCTTAAGTTTACCTCGATTTAACCTTCTCCCTAGGAACTCCCTTTCTGCCAAATCTTAATTTTATTGCTTAGACTATTTCTGAGTTACGTGAACGCCTTAATGACCACAGTCCGTTTTAAAAAGGTGGAGTACGTTTAAAAATGTACTTCTTTTCATCCTCGAATAACAAAAACTGAAAAATTTCGGTTCAGATTTTCACACATCACACCCCAAATTATCCTGGACTAATTCCAAAATAAAAACTTTCACTCGAGGAAGAATTTTTTCCTAAAACGCAGACCACCGTGGAATAAAAACGCCTACTTTGCAGCCCTAGGCAGGGAGTTAGGCACAGCCAGGTTTCGCGGAGCCTGCGGAGGAGGCGCGTGTAAATGTCTGAGGCTGAGCGGCGGCGCTGATTGGTCCGCGTTGCCATTTTAAATCCATTTCCAGCTGCTCTTGGCGGAGCTGGGACTTTTAGCTGCACGTTGGGTTCCCTGCACAAACCCAGGGTTTCTCTTGGGCCTGGGAACGCTTAGCTGTGATTGAGGAGGAGAGACCCCATCCCACCGAATGGAGCCCAGCAGCTGACTGGGGAGGGAGGGGTTAACAGGAACCAAAGGTTTCTGCCACCGCTTGGCTGAAAGATGGTATCTTCATCAAAGGGATTGAAATTTCACGTACTCACGATTGCAGTGACATTTCCTAACTGCCAGGTTTGCACATTTTTTAATGTGATCACATTCGCACTGTGGTGTGCACATTTTACACACACATACAAAATAGGCTTCTGGGTTTGTTTTTGTTTGCTTGCTCTTGCAAGGACTAGAGATAAAATTCTGAGGAAGAATGTAGAAGAAATCATGGAAGATTTCAGCTAGCCAGTTTTATACTGGGTACATATATTCTTGGATTTTGTTTTGTTCTGTTTTTTTCATTGCAAAAGGTCGGCAAGGAAGGGATTCCAAAGTGTCATTTTTGCATTAGTCTTTGACTCTAAGCAAAGCACAGAAAAATTGGGGTGGGAAAATAGCCAGCCACTTGTTTTCAGGCCACTGGCATTTTGCTATCAGACTGTTTGACCTCTTTTGAATTTATAGCAAGGATATGAAACAAATATTGCATCCAATTTTATCTAAATCAGTTTTATGTATTTTCATTCCTGGAAATTACACTTTTTTTTCAGGTTTTTGTATATTTTGTGTAGGAAAGACATTAAAATTTGTTTTCATTTTTGAAATTACTTGAGACCTTAAAAAATAGTGTCATACATTCTTTTCATTAAGTTAAATGGCTCTATTTTATTTGAAGAATTTTTTGAAATTTGTTTTATGTTTACATTAGTGGGTTTTTTCTTTCCAGTTTAAGTTGCTCAATTGTTTATTTCCTTTTCTTTATCTCATCATATTTTACCCCTCCATTCAAGGCTAAATTCTTACTTATAATTTGAAAACTTGCCAGGTGGTTTCTGTCCACATGAAACTATTTCTTTTCTTCTTCTGCACCTATCAAACTGAATAATTAGCAGCTTGGTTGTATATGTTAACAAGATTTCTAATTATCTGTGATACATGAGTTAGTGTTTGGATCAGGTCAGCTCATTAGTAGATGGTAAAATTAATTCAGTGGATCCATAACATCATTTTAAAAAATAGAATGTTGCAAAAGAATATCACATGTAAAAGTTCTAGTTATAATAAATGTGTATAAGAATTATATTCAGATGCTTCTTTTTCCCAGCTTTTAATGTTTTGGAAATTGGTATGTATTTTAGAGTTTAGGTTTAGAGTTTAGGATGTTTTAACACTGTGTTATCACATCCTAGGCAGTATCATTGCTATTTTCGTGATATGTATAATACTGATGTGTTTTAAAATCAGTGGCACCATAGATCTGTGAATATATGTATGGAAAATCTATTTCTTGCTGTAGGTTTCAGTGGGACATGTTTAAATGCCTCTGACTTAGTTATAAGACCTGGGTTCCTCTACAACTTCATTAATCCAGCCTTGTGGCCTTTGGAAAATCATTTCTCCTCTCTGGATCCCAGTATCCTCATTTCTAAAATTAAAGATTACTATAATCTTGAAGGGTTCTTTCAGTTCTAACAGACTTAAAAACATATAATTTCTTGTTCACTAATCATATGCTTTTTACATGTAAATTGTATGTAGATTCCATGGAGACCAGTAGCATTTCTAACACCTCTTTTTTGCAGCAGTTATGTGTAAGTAGTGTTCAGTTCATAATAGACTTTTGGTACTTACTAATTGGTTGCTATAACAAAATTGCTCTGAATGAGTTACTATTTTACAAATATACTATGGGATGAAAAAAGCATTGCATATATTTAAATATCTTTAAAAAATTCTTTTGACTAAAGGAAGAAGCATCAGTCATGAAGAGGTTGAGGTTCTTACCTTGCACTTTATCACATATTTTTACTTTAAAATATTCATAAATTAAAGGACAATTGATGACTTTTCTCATAACTGAATTATAAATGGATTAATTTCATATGTAATTAAATGGAGATTTATTATAATATCATTTTAGAAATGAGTATATAGGGTCACAGAAAAAAATTATAACTAATATTTATTGAGCAGAATGAACAGAATTGAACAGAACATATATACACACACACATATATGCATATACATAAATATGTATAGTATATAAATGTTTAGTATAATACAAAGTAAACACATATTTCTAAAATATATTTCTAGTGTTTTGAAATGAATTCATTTGCCCTGCTCAAACTTACAATTTTAGAGATTGTCTTTTGAATTATACTTAGTATTTAATGAAATGTAGAAGAGATCATCTCTAAGAGTTTTCCTACAGTATCACCAAGACAGAATATATGCTGCCAAGTTAACATTTTGGTGGAGGTGGAGGGGTTGTGGAGGCTTTCTAGTTCAGTAGACTGAGATCACTAAACAAAATGAATTTGTTTACTCTTTCATTCAACAAACATAAACTGAAGTGGTTTTGTAGTAATCTCACCCATTATACTCATGTCTCAGGAATGTAATTCATCCAGAACTGGAGAGAATCTCTTTTGAAACAGCTAGGTGCTCATTTAAAATCTGTTTACCTTTATGTTAAGCCTCTCATTTACCCTTACAAATATTTGTTCTCCTCTATCCAATCTGCAATTCATTTAACAAATACTGACTACCCAAAATGTTCTGGGATTCACAGAGCACTTTTTTGACAAAAGTCATAAAAGCAGAACAGAAGTAAAATGGTTTAATTTTGATCTCTCATCTGTTGACATTATATTGTCATCTCCAAACTATCTTAGTCAGGAAATACCATCAAGAAGCTTTGGATAGCTGGAGGGACATGATCTTTTCAGTCAGATTAAGGAATGGGAGGTGTGGTAGGCAGAATGCAAAAATGGCCCCTAAAATTTCCTGGCCCCCTGGTGTACATGCCTCGTATAATCTCTGGGACTTTACGTGCTGGATTTTACTCCCTTGGTTAGATTCTGTTAGATGGTACAGTTGACCCTAAGATAAAAAAATTATTCAGGTGAGTCTGATGTAATCATCTGTGTGTTTTAAAGCAGAGTTTTCTGTAGCTGATTTTAAGGAAGCAATTTAGAGATTTGGAGCTCAAGAAAGATTTGACCTGCCATTACTGGTTTGAAAGAAGAGGACACATGGCAAGAAAGGTGAGCAGCCTTTAGGAGCTGAGGGCAGCCTCTGGCCAACAGCCAGCAAGGAGACAGGGACCTCCTTTGTAGAGTTACAAGGAACTGAATTTTGCCAATGAGGATGAGTTTGGAAGTGGAATCTGCCCCAGAGGCTCCAGATGGGAATTCAGTCTGGCTAACCCCTTGATTTCAGCCTTGTGACACCCCCAGCAGAGAACCCAGCCATGCTATACCAACTTCTGACCTAGAAAATTATGAATTAATAAATGGCTATTTTAATGGTGTTTTAAATCATGGAGTCTGTGGTAATTTGTTTTTTAGCAATAGAAAATTGATACAAGAGGGATCTCATCAGATGAACTTGATGCTCCATCCCATGAACTGCCTCCAAAACAGAATTACTCATAGCGTTTGCTGGTAAGTGTTCCAAGTGGTTGTATAATACCTACCAAGCATGGAAACATACCATCTTGCATAGTTTTCCATCTTTCTGTCTCTCTGCCTCTGTCTCTCTATCTCTCTGTCTCTGTCTCTGTCTCTGTCTCTCTCTCTGTCTCTGTCTCTGTCTCTCTCTGTCTCTCTATCTCTCTCTCTCTCTCTCTCTCACTCTCCCCATCTATCTCTATCTCTATCTCTGTTTCTGTAACTTGGAATTCCTGAAGCCACCATACTGGAGAGACATAGGGAGAGGTCATACATTTCAGATAATTCCAGGCCCTCTACCCCCTGTCTCTAAACAATCTCAAACTGATGGAAAGTAGATAGGAGAGGAGAGAGACAACTGCTGAGTCCTGCCCCAGTTGCAAATTTATGAATAAAATAAATGTTGTTTTTGATCTTAAGCCACTAAATTTTGGAGTGGTTTGTTATATAACCATAGATATTGGTCTATCTTTTTTCTCTAAAGCTTGTTTTTCTTTTTCTTTACCTCAACCCAATTAATAATAATCTGATCTACTTCACATCAGTTTGGGGTTGTTTAGAAGCAGTGCGTGGGGGGGCCTGGAATTATCTGAATGCATGACCTCTCCCTATGTCTGTCTAGGATGCTGGCTGCAGGAATTCCAGGTCACAGCAATAGGGATACAGAATGAGACAGAGGTAGAGTGATGGGGAGAGAGAAAGAGGAAGAGAGGGAAAGAGGGGAAGATAGGTACTTCAAATGGGCGATTTGTTTAGCTAGAAATCACTCTTAGCTGGGAATCACTCTAAATCTTCCTTCTCTTTCTACATCAGATGGTACCAGGTCCCTCCAGTTCTGTCTTCTAAGTAGTTCTTGAATCTGTCTACTCTCTATACCCTCACTTTCATTCTTAATTTGGAGCTCTCTTCATTTAGATAACTCCAGTGTCTTTCTCTCTGGGCTCATTCTGTACAATGCTTCTAGAAGAATCTATTTCTTTTTTTGATGAGCTACTTTTATTATCCTTTTTTCTCATCACAAATAAATGCAAAAGTGGAAGAAATGGAAAGTGCATTGTAGAAAAAGCAAGTGGCAGAAAAACAAAGTTCCCCAGTTTTTTTCCATCATTCATAGATGATGCTGTAACATTTTGATCCATCTATACTTTAGATGAACTAATATAGGTTCATGCTGCACATTCTGTTCCATAATCTATTTTTATGTAAATACATCACGATTGTTTTTCATGTCAATGAATTTTCTTCTACAGTACCACTTCTAATGACTTCATTGTATTCTACAGTACACACACACACACACACACACATGTGAACACCTGGAATTAAGAAAGCATTTGATAAAAATTTTTATGACAGCCTTGTGAAAAGATGAAGAAATATGGCTAGGAAGTTATGCATTCTTTGGTGCTGACATCATCTTCAAAGGTGGTCTCTTTTATCAGCATCCTGGCATAAGTTTTCAAATTTTCAAATATCCTAAAGGTAGAAGGGTTAGCTAACTCAATGAATGATCAAATTAAGGTTCAAAAAGATCTCGACAAGCCATTATACAATTTAAGAAGATGAATATGAAGTATGTAATTAGTTTTGAAAAAGGGGGAAAATAAGCCATAACAATATAGGTGAGAAAAGTGCCTTAAAAACAATTCCTAGGATTGCATATATGACTAAGAAGCAGATATTACTAGGCTCCCATCAAATATCCATCCTTCCCTTCTAATTTAGTAAAAGAATACCTACAGTGTTGAGCGATATACCCAACTATAAAACTACATTTCCCGGACTCCCTTCTAGATTGGGCTACTTAATGAAATATAAACAGAAGTCTTTTGGAAGTACTTCTAGGAAAGCACTTTAAAGAGTACTGATTCAACTGAGAGCCTTCTCCATTTGCGTGTGGATGTCCAGTTGTTCCAGTACCATTTATTAAAATGGTATTTTAATTTCATTTAAATCCATTGTATTTTCCTTGCTCCTTTGTCAAAGTTCAGTTGACTATATTTGTGTGGGTCTATTTCTGTGTTTTCTTCTCCATTCCATTGATCTATGTCTCTGTTCTTTTGTGAACACTGTCTTTATTACTGTAGCTTCATAATAAATCTTGAAGTCAAGTAGTGTAATTTCTCTCTCACTGTGTACTTCTCCTTCAATACTGAGTTGAGTGTTCTGGGTCTTTTGCCCCTCCATATAAAATTTAGAATTAGCTTGTTGATATCCATGAGATAATATGCTGGGATTTTGATAGGGATTATGTTGAATCTATAGATAAAGTTAGGAAGAACTGACATCTCAACTATATTGAGTCTTCTTGTTCATGAGCATGGACTATCTCTCCATTTATTTAGTTCTTTGATTTCTTTCATCAGAGTTTTGTAGTTTTTCTCATGCAGGTCTTGTACATATTTTGTTAGATTTATACCAAAGTATTTTATTTTGGGGTGTGCTAATATGAATGGTAAAGTGGTTTTAATTTCAAGTTCCACTTGTTCATTACTGGTATACAGCAATGTTATTGGCTTTTATGTATTAACCTTGTATCTGCAAAACTGTTCTAATTACTTGCTGTTAGATTTTTTGTTTTGGATTTTCTACACAATAATGTCATGTGTGAACGAAGATGGTTTTACTTTTTTCCTTCCCATTCTATATGCTTTTTTTTTTTTT